TGCAATTTTCCCTCCTTAGCTTTTCCATCCCAGCCCAATTGACCCTATTTCTTGCCTTGCTCTGGCCCACCTCTGCTACACACTGCTACAACTGGGTCATCATCCTGATGATAAGTGCCACATCCTGTTGAGTGAAGTGGCGGGAGACATTAGTTCGGGTCTGAATAGAGGGTAGACATCGACACACAGACAGGCTGCTTGTCCAGACAATGGAAAATGCTAGTCTGAACAGGCTCTGATTAAATAGATGGTGATTGAAGTTTCACTTTAGACAGGAAGATAACTATAGCTTTTTCCCAGAGGTAGAGGTTCAGCTTAGTCTTTACTCTGCTCCCAGAGTTTGTTCTTTTTGTTTGATGATAGAGTAAACTCTTTTTTTTTTTTCTTTTATCTTCTTGTTGATCTGACCTGTACACTTGTACATCTACATTTGTACATTCAACCGCATATTTCCACACTTTTTTTTTTCTTGTCTCCCAATTAAGAGGACAGTTACGCTTGGCACATTTAAGCTTACTATAGATTTGCATTTATGAAAGTGTGAACACATTTTAGACACTTACTGTTCTGTAAATAGACATCAGTGAGGCCCAGAGTGGCTTTCGAGAGAGGCTTCATTTTTTTTTTTGTGAAAGTTAAACCAAAAGTCTCTATGCACATTGCACACCTGTCACAAGAGCTCTGATCCCAGATGCAACAGAAAAGAAAACAGCAGGCAAATTGTGCACATCAAAGCACCAATCAGTAGCTGTACTGCAGGAGCTGGGATACCACTCTTCACTCTCCCGTCTTTGTTCTCTCGCCACATCCTCCTCAACACCAACTTTCACAAGCAGAATGACTGTTTCAAACCCATTTCACAGCTGCTAGCTTGACTAATATTCCGCTGCCATGTGTTCCTCCTCCATTACGATCCATGTGACATGTCTGTGATATCTCTCTCTCTAAGTTTGTGAGCATGTGGGTGTGAGTATATAAATATGTGTTATGATTCTCAGTGTTGGGATGTCTGAAAGCACCCCTTGTCTACATTGTATAAAGCAGTTTTCTGTCTCGGCCTGTCTGAGTTGCTTCTGATTGATGTGTAAAATTGGACTGTTTTTGCTCCCATATATTCCTGAGGCGGGAGATCTGAGTGGGTTTCGTTTTTCCTCGCCTCCTGAGGCACACAAAACGTTTCATGTTCTTGTGGGTTGGAGTCAAACGGAGTACTACACATGAAGGCACACACTGCAGGTTGCAATAGATTGATCTGCTCCTTTTTTGCTTGTTTTCTGTGTGCTTTCTGTATTTTTTTGTATGTGTGTGCATGTGTGTGTTGTGGTGAGAGTCAAGCTTGCTGTCTGTGATGAATTGCCACAGCTGTGGAGACAAATTTGGACGTCGAGGAGCGTTGGTTTTGCTCAGAAATTTTAGCTGTCTCTCCACTCTGTGTAATGATGAAGAACTAGGCACATATCAGCCAGAGGAGGAGTGCAACTGTTGCAAATGAAAAGCACAACCAAGCACACATAGGAGCAGGCGGATAAGGAAGTGGGCCATTATATATACGCTATGTGTGTGTGTTTCCAGTCACAGTTTGATGTCAGGCTTTGGTACAGCCATAGCCTACTACTTTTGGGCCCTCTGGGGCTGATGTAAAGTACTGTGGAGCTGATTGACAGTTATAGGTTTTCTTTACACATGAAAGAGGATGAAATACTTAATTTTAAGGCCTCATGCTACATTGCGACTGTAGTGGTCAAAGTAATGTCTCATTAAAGAATTGAAAGAGAGCAGACATCTTAGATGTGGCACTCTCAGCTGTAATCTGAGTCCTCATTAATATCTTTTATAGTTGGGTTTTCATGTATATGAAACAGTTTACCCTCTCAGACATGTACTCAAGTGAGGGCCTTTGATTTTTCCTCAAGTACACAACTGGACTCATAACATATTTTGTTGCTTGTGATACTTATATTTCACAACTGAATCATATATTCAGTTTTATCAGTTGTAGTTTGTTCTGTAACAAGCAGATTTTAATTGTGTATTCAGTCACAATCTGTAATGCTGGCCAGTCTCAGAGCTGCAGACTAAATCAATCACTGTGTGCTGGGCAGAAATGCTTGCTTGCGGTATGATTTTTCTCATGCCATTTTCTCTCTTTAAAAGCAAGTATTTATTTCTACACCTTCTGAAACTTCTTTACCTTACAACAGGTCAGCATATAACGACTTATAGACCACCTTTTGCGCTCCCCTAAAATTGTATGAACCCCCAAATGACAGCTCCAATTTCCCCATGTGCCAGACTCCCCCCTTTAGGCATGATTAAAATGTGTACTGAAGATATACCATCTACTCATCTAATACGGCCATACGAATAAATGAGATGAATACCATCTCCTTTTCCCTAATTCAGAGGCTTTTTAATATGTCATAGTATGGACTGCATAGTGACCCTTGTAAATAAAGGAAAGTAAGAACAAATAGAGCCGTGCAAACACCTTTCTGACACTGCAATAAAAACTGTAAATTCCACCAAGGAAAGATTTATAGCAGTATTGTTGTATCAGATTGGATTAGGTAATAAGCTTAAAAGTATGTGCATTTGAGTGTAAAAAATAATTATATTTGGGATGCTGAACATTTGCACCCTGGGAAAGCCAGGGGTTTTTATATGAGAATATGTGTCCCTTGTTAACAGTGCATTCTCTCTGTTCCTTTGTTCCCAGCTTGCATGGTGAAATTCTGGACGATAGTGTTGATTGTGGTCACTAAAATTACAAAGAATGGAATTACCAGACCAATGTGTATTTTAATTTGTGTGTTTCAAAAAAGAGACCCATGTGTACTTTTAGTCTTTTAGTCACCCGTGGTGTGTGTGATTGTTCCACAAGAAATTGTTAGACAAAATGAAGGAATGGGAAAACACACAGAACCTTAATCCGACCAATGTCCTTCTATCCTCCACTAAATCAGTGGCGGGACTCGGCAGTCACACAGTGGTCGAATGTACAGCTTGGCTATGCGATGTAGATATTGAAGTTGTACCAACTTTTCTAGCACACTATTCTCTGATGAATGAGATGTATACATGCACAACAACAGCATTCAATCACATTTGAAACTGCATACTAGCTATATCAATAGTTCAGCTTTACTAAATGTCGATTCCCAACTTGTATTTGCCAATACTGCATAGACAGTGGTGCAAATATAAGATCAGTACAAATGTTCAGTGTCTTCAGATTGTCTGTGATAATGAAATATGCAAGCTATTAAATGTTTGAATGTTCCTAGGCATTATTTTCTAGAAATCATTTCACTATATAATCTTAATTACATACAAGTAGTAGTAAAGTAGCAAATTTGTATGTAATTTAAGCTTTGGTCAGTCTTTAAATAGAAGAACCATTGAAACTGAAGACGGCAGGAGATAGTAACTACATCAACATGTCTGACTTAAAATCAATAACCAGACCAGCTGTACTGCACCGGAGGCCATGTCTGCTTGCAGAAATGTGGTTTCACATGTCAAACGTGCACTAGCATGGATGGAAAGTTTGATTTCAAATAAGTTAAAAATAAATAAATATAAGGTTTGCTTTACACTGCAGTATTTTGCAGGTATTTCACATATTTTTATTTTTTTCTTGTTATAAAACCTTAATTGTAACACTGTGGACCTTTGTGCTATGTCTACATGCATGTCTGCATTATGTCTCCACATTAGAAATAATTGCTTCTGGAAACTGTCAGATTGACAAAGGTGGAAAAGGATACAGGGACATCAGTGACCAACTAACAAAGTGGTACACAACTTTTCATATTTGCAAGTCAGCTGACAAGTCTTGCATTCAGTTTCCATCTTCAGTCTGATATTTCCTCCACTCTAACCTAACCTAATGGAGGACGGGATTTGATTTCCCTTACCAATCACAAGAGACCAACATGTGAATCCAATGTCATTTGAAGTAACCACCGATGTGTAGCCATGCCTACATACTGGTTTTTGCTGGGGTTTTAAGAGTGAAGTGGAGCGAAGTACCAAACTATGATGTCCGTCTTCATTACTCCTTATCCCTCTTCTTCTTCTTTTGTTGTTATTGCCCCTCCTTGACAACACTTAATAATGGCTTAACAACGCTGTCAGTCCCTGCCATGGCACTGACTGGCTAACTGTTAGTCCTCCTGTGGCACTCGCTGGATCGATTCCTTACTCAGCCAAGCAACCGCTGTTTCATGTCACAATGCCAGACAGAAATCCTTCGACTTAAGGGAGTGGACAGGTTCGAAGGTCTGGACCCAGGCAACACAAAAAGATATATTCACATTTGCATGGAAACCACCGTGCAATTTTTTCTAAACACTGTGTAACGTCTCTTAACATCATAGTGTACCTTCCGCCTGTTTTTCATGTCATCTACTGGAGACTGTTTTTGCTGCCTATCACTGGCCAGGTCTATCATTTTGCCTCAGGTGTCAGGGCCAGGTTTTTAACTGTAGCACAAGGCATGATTTAAATGTCACCGTGTCCTTTTGTACTGTATATCTTTTGGTTCCTTTGCTTCTACAAAGCAAAGATTTGTTAGAGTCAAGAGTATTGAAAACTGTGGAACACCAGGTTTTCAGGTTTGAGTGTTCTGTTTCATCTTGACAGTATACTGTGCGTCCCTGTATATGTGACATACTCCATTGCTATCCTTTATGTTTTTTGTAAACTGTTATACTATTTATGACTAAATCATACAAGGTTGCAAACATCAGGGTACACATCTGCTTGGTGGGTTGTATACAGAAACCTGCTGACTTGTGCATGACTGGATTTGCTTGATACTGCTTAAGTTTCGTCACATTTTGGACATGTGACTTTACAGTAGGGCAACAGGAAAGATTGTAGACTTTACATGTGGTGCAGTGTGTAAAAGTTCACATGTTAAGATACTCCGCTTTATATGATTTTGTTCCTTTAACTCCTATTTCTTCTAACATCCCCTTGTTCTTTGGGTTTTTCAGAGAATGATGAGACAGGTGTGATGGATAGTTTGCTGGAAGCCCTACAGTCAGGAGCTGCATTCAGAGACCGCAGGAAGAGAGTGCCAAGACCCAGAGGTGAGGCTCATATCACACTGTTAAGCACACACATAAAACAAAGTATCCATAATGTCTGGGAAAACTGTGGACAGTGTTCTGATTCCAATCAGATGTTTAAAAACCATAACAAATTCTGGTCCTAACCTGCTAATTTGATGGATTTTTTTCAAATTTTGTTTTAAAAGTTGAGGGAATTGAATGCATCCTCAGGTTCTTATGCTTTGGCTCAAAACACTGCCATTCTCAAACACTCGCCGAAAAACACTGATCTGTTGTTGTTTGTACACATGCTTGCTAGCAGCACAATACCAGAGAATCCTCAGCTCGACAACATTACTACAACTGTTTGATGTTTGGATCTTTTTGCTGGCAGCCTTAAATCCATATCCAGGAATTGAAAACTTGAAAGAACAAACACATGTGGTGAATCCAAGATTGAATTTTACATGTTTTGAATCGATTGCCTGTTAAACATTGCAGACAATTGACAGCTGTGCACTGAAACACGGTATTGCCTGTTAATGAACTTTACTTCACAGCTGTTCTCCAGCGAGTGACTGCCTCCTCATCATCTTTTTGATCTCTCTTAGTACTGTCTGTTTTTGCATTATTTGTCCACTGCCATCCTTACAGATAACCAGCAGCAGACAATCAGTCCCGGCTCCTTCCGCCAGGTTCTCAGGCCTGTTAACTATGGTAAAGAAAAAATAAAAAACCTTCTCAGCTAAAGCCTCAAGCATGCTCAGCTCTGCCTTTTATTTGCTGTTTGAAATCAGCCTTAACCAACTCTTGCATGTCTTGTAATGCAAATTCCACTTGACAGTTCATATGTCCTGCCTTTTTCTGTGTGTCCAGTGACCTTTTCAGTTGTTCCTTTGCCTTTTTGTGACCTTGCGTGTTCCTTCTGAAAGACCATTGGTGAAACAGATCGAGGCAGCGCTGCATGCAGACGCTGAGAGGAGCAAGGTTGAGATTCTTTGAAAGTAGTGTGTGGGCTGCTCTGGTGGCTCAGTTTAATAACGTTCCTAAATTGTTCAGTTACTGCAGCATGTCGAGTTCAACCCTATGCTTTTAAATGCTTTTCCATTCCTTAAATCTTATTGAGAAATGGTTTTGTCCTGAATTCTTTTCACTGTTTATCTGTGTGCTGTATGTTTTTAAAGAGCGGTGAGGCACCAAGATCAAACATACAGATTAAATAATGTGGCACAAATTGGATATAAACCACTTGTAGCCCAGAGCACTTCATATGTTCAGTGCTCATCACCATCATTCAGAAAGTTCAGATTATTATTTGAATGTAAAAAGTGCTAAATGAATGACTTCCTGGGAGTGGAGCTTGGAGGAGATGCTAATTATGCCCAATTGAATTGTCCTATATTATTCATAGTTGTGAACAGATATTGTGCTTTTAGCTGTTACGAAAATAAACAACAGCTTTCTTTTGTCAAAGGTTTTCTACAATCATTACTGAGGCACTTAAAAAATTATGCTGTAACCCTATTACCTCTTATTACTTGTAATTGGAATCCCAGTGGGCTGGGTGCAGGCACACATGAATAAAATTATTCACGCTCAATCCACCCACATCATTGATGGCAATGATAAAGGGCCTTACTCTGTTGTTCTGCTAAGGCTTATCTGAAATTAGATTGGAAAGGGACGAGGGGGAGGGATATATATAGGGTGGGAGGAAAGAGACAGATAGATGTGGCTGTAACATAAGAGATCGAGAGAAATGGTGTGAGGAAGAAAGATAGAGCCAGTTGGTAAGGGTGCAACTAAGGAATAATGTGGGAGAGGGGGAAAAAAAAAAAAAGGAATCAGATGCTGTTTGTCTGTGTGTGAGAGAATGTGTGTGAAAGGCAGTCAGTAACTATAAGACGGAACAAGCCAAACTTATGTTGCATTAACAGGGGGATAGGGTAAGAAAAGATACAAGTGCGTGCTGTAAATGAGTCGCAGCTCAGCGTCCATGTTGTGAAAAGACCCCGCGGTGTGTGCTACAGGTAAGAGGGGACTGGGAGGTTGCTGACCCAGCCGCCCCCTGCTGGCAGCTTCAGACATGGTCTTGTTGACTAATAAAGCTCAAGGCTTCAGCCTGTCACTGCAGGCATCATACTCACTGCCAGCCTCCCAGAGCAAACACAGCTAATTACTTTTCTCTGCCCATCCCCAGCACCAGCTCAGTCCTCTCAGTGCCCATTCATCTTAATTTCCCCCTCTCTGCCATCTGCCTCCTAAATAACACTCCTCCTCATTTCCCTACCATCCCATATCCCTGCTGTCTTCTTCTATACTCTCATGGCCAGGCAGTGGCCCTCCCCATACATAATTGCCTGTTATTGGTATGGAGTCCCTCCACTGCTCCAAGCCTCACCCTATCTCTCCCATTTCCCTTCTCTCCTTTACTCCTACAGAGATCCAGGCCTTAATTGCCCTGGGTTTAGTCGCTGGAGTAAGTGAAACCCACAGGATACTCTCTGTTTAGTTGGGAGGTGATGAAGTTTCATCTGCGGCTCAAGTACTTAAACAGCTGCTTTCACTTTCACACCACCCGACCACCTCCTTTTTCCCACTGTTTTAAATACCCTTTAATAATTGATCTCAGGGGTGTTGCTACACTCCAGTGGAGCAGCAAAGAGAATTAAAACAGAAACATCTGCGCCAGAAGATACTGTAATTAGTGGTGAAGGGGAGAGATTTGAATGGTCAATCTGAACATGCGTGGTGCCATTACATTTTTACACCAAGGGAGTCTCAAGTGTACCAGTGTTGTCTGTACCCAACAAATCAGATGGCCGATAAAGTGCTCCCCATCAAACTGTGATGAGACTGTGGAGTAGTTTGATTACGGCTATAGTGCTTTGTAGTCATGATGAGTGTGATTGCCACGCAATAGAAAATAGGATTAGAAGATGCCTTGCAGTCTTCTCTGTTGTTTGTTGCACAGAAAGGGATGCACATTGTTCTCTCATTTTTTCCCCCCCTCTTTCTCCTCCCTTCCTGTACTGAGTTAGGGTCCTGGCCTGAGTTCCATGCATTTTTCTCGGCTTGTTCTGTCTCTCATCTCCTCTCCTCCCCTTCCCCTAAATTGGCTCAGCACACTTTAACATGAGCCAGCAGCTAAGGTGTTTAGCTTGGTATGCAGTCTCCCTCTGCACACATACACACACACACACATACAAGTACACAGACACACACGCAGACTTTAGGGGATGAAGGTAAGCAGGCTTTGCGGTGGCTGTGGTCTGGGTTAGGATAAGGCTGTGGGGCTCTGGGGCTCCTCAACACTCTAAATTGGATTGGGCTCCACAGAATGATGGATCGATGATGGTTAGCCACACAGGTGTAAGATACTTATTGAATCTATAAAGCAGCCATAGCTTTTTAACTGTGTCCTTCTGAAAACATCTCTCCAGGCACTGTCTGGTCATTTCAGCCTTCTTTGCAAGCTCTCATCACAACCTGGCTGACTCCCCAGCTGGTGTGTGCATGTGCATGTTACGGGGAATCAAACAGCTGCACTTTTTTTTTTCTCCGCTGTTTTGTTTGAAAGAGACGAGGAGGAGCCTCCAAGTGTGGAGCACAGCACAAGCCAGAGGTGCATTAATAGCGTATGTGCATGCTGTAATGCCCTTGTCCTGGATTAATCCATTATGGAGAGTGTGGGGAGGAATGGGATCCATGATAGAGTAAATGTCTCTGTCTTTAGGAGCAATTACTTCAGATGTCTTTAGTAACACCCGACCTAACAATTATCATGTGTGATATAGCTCTGAACTAGAGCTTGAAATTGATGTAAAGGTCACTTCACAAAGTCAGTGAACCCCTTTACCAAATGGAGACAGGAGTTATTTTTTCTTACTTGCAGTTGAAAGCATTAACGTCTTCACCCTAAAAGCAAGCCTCTAGTTATTGGAAATCTTGTATGCTATGTATTTGCTGAGTCAACTTTATGACCCTTTTTGCTGAATTTATGTTTCTGTATATAATGTTAGATCCGCAGTTCACGCAGGCTGCTATTCAGCGCAGACTTTAAGTGGCTAGGGTATAGGTGCAAATGGTAGTAGAAGATGACTAATAGGCTTAATTTGAGACTCAACCCACGGTGTCTTTCAGAGGTTGTGCAGCAGAAAATCATTACGACGAACCTGGGGAGAGTGCAAAGTTTAAATGAAAGTCAAAAAAAGTAGGATTTAAAGAAAAAAAAAAAAAAAAGAAAGTTTGCTTCCTCACACCTTTTTGTGTTCCGTGTGCTCATATGTGACACATTTACGAAAAACTAGCGGTGAGATTCAGTTGCTGTAGCTTCCTGAGGCAGGGGGTACGCCAGTGGAATCTGGTGTTGCCTTTCTGATTGTGCCTCTTCTAGACTGATAGACTGTGATATGTGGATTCCACTGCAGGCTAACTGTATCCTGCAGACTGCGTATGTGCTTTTTCATTCCTCCTTCACATTTCTGTCTCTTCACATCAGTGTCAATTACATGAGAAAGCTTCCCATTCCTCCAAAGTTCCTCAGTGTACTCTTTACTTTTTGACTTTGTTTTGCCTTCACTTTATCTCCTCCCCTGCCTTGCTGCTTTCCCCCAGACATGACATAAGCAAAAAAGAAGGGGTTATTAAATCATTTCAGTAAGCTCAAGACAAAAAAAGAGGAGCACAGACTGTCCTCCCAAGATCTATTTCAATTGATGCAACACGTCATTGTTTCAAAAGTGTAACTGTAGAAGTTGCTGATTTATCTGCATTTGGTCATAATATATCATCCACACATCACATACGGCCTGTGCGCTTTTCATTAAAGTGACAGATTATTGCCAAGGAGCTTCTGTTCCCGAACAGCGTGTTCACTCTCCAGTTTTCACACATACATACTCATGCATACATGCATAAAAATTGTCAGCTTAAACCCTGTGTTTTAATCATGTGCACGCAGAAGGTTGAAGAGCATCCTGGGGTCAGGGCATCAGCTTTGTCTAAGGCTTGGACAGGTGTACTGCTCTCTGTATTCATGTCTACAGTCATCTGGCCACTTGGAGTCAAAGTGTCTCTCTTATTGCCACACTTGATTGGTGGTTTAGATGTTTAACTGCTCTTGTAGACAAAGGTATATCCAGATGGGAAAATGTACCTTGACCTGCCTTTGTCTGTCTATCTAAAGTGCTGCACTTAGTGTGTGTGTGTGTACGTGCGTGTGCTCGAGCCTGTGCACACATGCATTGAACAGATGGAGCAGGAGGGCACCTTAACAAAGTGGCTGGTGTAATTAGGTCTAGCCTGTGCAGTGAGACTTGTGGAATAGTAATTGAGGGTTGTAGAGAGCAGTGAGGGAAAGATTTTTTTTTTCACCTTTATTCAAGTTTTTGTTAAGAACAGTGCTCTCCTTTGCTGGAATCCCCTGCTGCATGCTCGCACAGTTGGACTCAGTGACACATGGAAGCTACCCATTATAATACAGTCTGATCTGTTGGCCACATCCCTTCTCCTGTTGAGCTCCTAGTGATTAATTGTCCATATTTATTCTATTGGTTTGACAATTGAATCAGCAACTTCCAGACGCAAGAGCTTTTCTCTTCACTTTCAGGTTCCAAGCAACCTCAGACAAGTGACAAGTGAGCGCCATTTATTTGCAAAGACCATGTTCCCGATGTGTAATGCAGACAGTAATTAAGATTATGACTTTCCACGTG